GCCCCCCCCCCCCACTAAAATACCTACAAGTTACGTGTAGAAATGTTTTCAAGTATGGGCCATAGGTAAAAATGTTGGCAACAGTCTACCTCATTTCCCCAACTGGGGTGGTCATCTCATTCATCTGCTCTGCTAAAACTATTTAGAAGTCCTACTGGGTTTGGTTAAATAACTGCCACCTCTCACCCCAGTGATGGACTATTGTGGAAATTTTCTGGATGAAAGGACTGTAGATACACAATACCCTGACCACCTTCACTGACTGACATGTGCATGTCAGCTTCTTCTCATTACTGCCAGTACCAAGAAAGAGAGCAACTGTAGAGAGCTGTGAAGACTATTCCAGGCTGGTTAGTTTCCTCAACAGTTGCTCAATTTCTAACTCTGCCTCAAGGGAGAAAAGCAATAACCTTCAAGATAAAAGCCAGCTATTGGCTTCTCTCCTTCCTCAGATCACTTTGGAGCATTCAGGACATGGAATTTCAACACAATCAAAGATAATATGTCAGATTTGACTGGCAGTGACAAATACTGAACTGCAGTCCAGAGGGTTCTGCAATTAGCCCCTTAGTCATTGTCACCATCAAGCAACTGTACTGTCTGATTTTATGCCCGCTGGTAACAAGACCAGCTATTTTAGTTCTGCAACATTACAATTCACAGGAGTCACCAGTGTCTATCAGATGGATGGACACTATGTAATTAGTCTGTCTTAAGTTTCAACCTCACTTCCCTACTCCCTAAGCTACCAGGAGACAAATAAAGCAAAGAGGTATCAAAACCCTAGAAAATGTGGTTCTCTTTCATCCCCTCCTCCAAAAATTGAATTACTCAGAGAAGGTTTTGATGAAGGATAATGCAGCAGTTCCTGAATGCTCTGTGAAGGACTGCCCATGCTACCTGAAAAGCTTCTCTACTCACGTGATTCGAACTCTTTGACACCGAGGAGTTTTTCCGATTGCGTTCTTTCAGGGTGGATTTTCTAAAAATAGAAAAAATATTGCAAAGAAAAAAAAAGAAAAAAATTTTTTTTAAAGCTAGCAATGATTTTATCAGCTGACTCCTACACCGATTTTTTGCCTGCAAACCAAAACAAAAAACTCCTAGTGTATGGGCCTTACAACTGTTAAAAGAAAATGATCCAATGAAATGGACTAACCTTAAAAAAGAAAAAGAAATATCCTCTGTGAGCCAAATTAAGCAGTTAAAAACATTAACTCCTATCAAATTTGCATACATAAACAGAACAATATTTTAAATATGCCTTTTGCTTTGTTCCAGACACCCAGAAAGCTGCTAACAATAGCAAGCAGGCAAGAGACAGGTTTTGCTTTGAGGAAAGTGAATAAACTCACTGTTGACAGAGTTCAAAAGCAGTGCTCCATTGTTGGCCTAAGGCCACTTCTTTGTAATCTTGGCCATTAAATATGGCTTTGCAGGTGGCCCAGCAGCTGAGGTTCAGGGACTATGGTTTGCATATTTAGCTTTTATATGACATGGAGGGTTCTCCCCCAGCACCCGTAAGCTATAAAAACACAAATTTATTCCAATGACTTTTTTATCATTAAGCATCTAATTTTGTTTGTGGATCACCACTCAACTGTGCTTTAATTACCACATGCATGCACTTGTGCGTGCGCGCGTGCGCGCACACACACACACACACACACACAAAAAGAGAGTATGCAGGCTATCTTCCCAGCAGGCCATCAAAATCCTCTCTCTCTGCATACACTATCCAGGTTGCCCTTGTCACATAAGCAAACCTCAATCATACAAATATGCTTCAAAGAGCATTTATTTTTACAGATAAAATTTAGAGCTTTTCCAAAGATATACACTGTAATAACCTTGAAATTTACAGGCCCCATCTGCTCCCTGCAAACACTTCTGTGCCCTTCTTACCATCACCAAATTCTGTATTTCAAGGAATATCCCAGATGCAATTAACAATACAAGATTAGAGCTTTTGATTCCATCCAGAAAATGCGCACACCAATTGCTGAAACTTCCTCAGCCTGATGAAGGGTTTTTGAACCCAAAAGCTTGCTTAACATTTTTTTTTTTTGCAACTATTCAAGTTGATCTAATAAAAGATATCAGATTCACCCAAAGAACCTTGTCTGCCAGATTACAGCAAATACATTCATGTGAAATTTTCCTACAGTTTTTTTTCCTCTCCCTACAGATCACTGACTTGGGTACCCTCTTTCAGACTTGTTTTACACCACAGGGTAACTCCATTAATCTGGCAGCTGTAACTGAAAATCAGAACCGCAAAATGTTTATGGAGCTTATAGAATGGATGATGCTGCAGCAATATGATACTGTACAGTAAATGATGTTATGCAGTTAGTTCTGGAGTATGTAAGACTTACGTAAAAAAAGTGTGGTAGTCTAACACAAGTGGCTACCAATGAACAAGCCAGTGCTTACCACACCAAAAGTAGCATGCCTTAGAATTTAACAAACAAACCACTGGGCCTAATTTTATCACTTATGCTAGTTCTGCCCTAACAATTCCAATGGCTTCATTGGGCGCATCCCCACAAGCATGCACATGCAGCAGCACGTGTTTCCCATGGGACAAATAGCAGCAGCACATAGTTGTACCACTGCAATTTGTCTGAGCATGCGCCTGTGTGTGCGCTCTGGCATGCAGGAACGGGACCCAGGTGGGGTAGGGGAGGCTGGGGCCAGCACCTCTGCTGGCCCCAGCAGCCTTACATGGGGTCCTGGGGGCCTCCTGGGCCAGCAGCAATGCCAAGCTGACCACTTGGAGTCTGGCCAGCAGCCAGAGTGTGGCTCTGGCCGGCCAGGCTCCAGCTTCTAGCAGCACAAGCTGCTGTCACACACACCACACCATTTTTTTTTTAGTGGCAGTTTTTTTGATACTGGGATCTCCAGTGCACATGCCGGTGCTGTTTACAGTGCCTCAAATGGCATTGACACATGCTGTTTGTAATGCCTCAAATGGCTTTGAGGCACTGGAAACTGCGCGTGCATGCTTGTGGGATGTGCCCATTAAAGGGCTCCAATTTGTACTGGCATAAATGAATGGAGAATCAAACCTCTCATCCTTGGAGAGCTGTTAGTAAACCTGGCCAGTTTCTTGTCTATATTCAGCAATGCCTCGATTCTGAAGAGACTGCTCAGAGCTCATGAAAAAAAGGCATAATGGCCCCTCACACTGCTGTAGCAGCTTCGGTCATCTTTTCTGAAGTGGCTCGCATGCAGTACTGCGACCTGTCTATACACAGGACAATGGTAGGAAACATCTTCTGCAGGGACAGTTACTATAGGTCAACTTTTCATTTTCCTGGCTCCCTTCCCCATGCCTCCTCCCTCTGGGAAAAAAAAAATGCTCCCAAGTCTTGCATTCTGCTCACCTGTTTGGCGAGAATCCTTGCCGTTAGCCTCACAGTCTCAGAGGGATTCCACTTCTGCCCAAAAATGCACATGGCAGAGCATTCCAGCTTGTGCATTGGCCAATCTTCTTTCTGAAAGGTTAAAAAAAAACCCAAAAAAACTGTTGTAGATAAAGGGCTGAAAAAGAGGACGCAGCAAGTCCTGCCAGAACCTGGAGGTCAAGTGAAATGTGTTTCCTTTAGAAAAATAAGATGACACTCACTAAACTGGAACAAAGCTTGAGTCATTATTAAGGGATGTGTAGCCATCCTGCATTTGTTTTTAATGTGTTCACAAGAGATGAGCTTTGGTCAGATGATCTTCATTTATTTGGTGGAAATAAAAATATACATTTTGAAGAAATGAATATGCAATCATCAGTTCTCAGTATTCAGAGGAAAACAGGTCCCTGCTTGATGAATATGCAGGTTCATTTCCTTCTAATGCATACACTGGCCCTAATTCAGATATGACTGGCACACTCAGGCATAAGTCACCTAAAAAAAAAAATCAGTGAATTTACATTAATACAAAGACAGTTATGCAAGATCAGGACCAGCCATGCTGACCCAATTTATCAGCTTTATTTTATTAGTTAGAACAACACACAGGCAAATAACAGTGGAGCTAACCGATAAAATAACTGAACGATTAGAGGTCAGAAAAAAAGGAGGAGGAAAAAAGGCATCCTTTAACTTAAAAAATCTATGTTACATATTTCGTTTAGCGCACAGTAAAATGTTTAATGTGACTGTTATCAATTTTGTGCTATCCCTCAAAGTCATGAACAGCTGTTCTAAGGCATCTGTGACTTTTTTGATCACCTTATGAATGGAATCTATCCAAGCAATGAAGGCCTCCACAAAGTGATGCATGTTAATAGTGGTGCGGTCCTGTCTCCAACCAGAGCAAATTCCACCTTATCTGCATATTCAGAACATAAATCAAAGTACAATGTCCAAGTCCCTCCATATACACAAATGCACACATTTACGCACCATCCTCTTAAATGATTAAGGAGCAAATCAGCTCTACCATCAAGTAAGACACCTTAGCTAGAGAAAGGTTGGTGGGGGAGAAAGAAAAACATAGAAAAATCCCATAGGCTTACTGCAGAAGCAAATGAAATGGAAATATAGAAATTTTTGGCAGCTCCAAGAAAAATACTGGCATGACATTCTCATACATAAGTCAAGGTCACAAGCCTTTAAAGTAGGCTCAATATGCCACACTGAATGAAATTATAGCACAGTCCTACCCTGACCACCGTCAAGTATCACACAAGGATTAAGAGCAACTCAAGTGCCCCGGAGAGAGACTGGCCCACTATTATTTAAGACATCTATACCAAAATTAAAAGGTCAGAGACATAGTTTCATCTTAACGTTTCAGGAATCCTCCATAAAAAATGCCCATTTTAATTACCCCATACATGGGCTCACCTTCTGAGGGAACAAAAACCTTCAACTCACACCATTCTTAAGGAGAAGGTGGGGAGGTTTAAAAATGTGCAGATATTCAGCAACTTGCAAAATCAAGTCCAATGTCTTCAAGAGTCCAATTTTACATTTTGAAAACAAACAACATTACAGACTAGCTACATGAAACAAGCTAGGATGTGAAGTTCTAAAAGGGCACAACAATATAGAGGAATAGGTTGAATGGGAATTAAAGTAAGTTGCATTTTAGCCATATCGTTAAAAAAGAAGAAAAAAAAGGAAGAAAAATCTTAAGTAATTCCACTGATGCAAGTTACACTGCAAACTTTGTCCTAAGATACCCATTTCCTAGTCACAGACCCTCAGTCTTTATTTTGTGTGTTCTTAACCAAGAAGAAATACAAAACACAGACCCAATCCTTCAATCACTGAAAAATTCCACACTCCCAGTGACTTCAGTGGAAGAGTTTTACGTATATGGTGAACATAGGATCAGTCCACAAAGTTTTTACACCTGCTCCTGTTCACATGCATTGCCTTAAGAGTGCCTGAATAAAACAAAACCAAGATACTCTCTTAAAGTAATGTTTTTTAAAACGCATTTGCTGCTTTTATTCTTTAAGCATTGTTAATTAAAATCTTTCCTCAGGCAGAATCATACTGAGTTATGAGAACTAGTAGGGAGGTTAAAGGAACAAGGTATGGCTGAATTGTGCAAAATGAAATAAAAGCCCCAAACATTGCAGGAACAGAGAGTAGTGATGACTGAATAATACGTGGCATGGAAACATTCTGACAGAAGCCTTCTCTGCGATCACAGCAGGACTGCATTTAGCATTCTTTTCCACGTTTTCTCTAAGTGGTTTAAATTATAGCAGGTAGCATTGTTCCGACTGAATCCCTAGTGCTACATTAATGATATTTTCTTCCTATTTTCATTACACCTACAGTACTTTTCCCTTCAGCAAAGGCTGAGTGACAACACTTTTGGAAAGGAAGTTTGCTACGGCTTATGTTTTCCACATCAAAGAGTGGAAATATAATCTCCTCAACCAAGTTCTTCAAAGTGACTCCATCTGTTGGGACTACCTGATTATTTGCCAGAAGACTGGACTCCTGTGAAGCATATTATCAAAAAACTCTAGTACCCAGGAATAAATAGGTAATACAAGTCCAAAAAGATGATTATTTGGGTGTTCTACATGACCTTAAATATTCACTGGCATGTAAACATTACTCTTGTTAGTTAAGAGTCAATGATGTGCCTTGTTAGCACAGTAAAAGATTCATATAAGGACAGGTTTCACCCAGTGGAAATCCATTTCAGAAGATGGACATACACATAACACAATGAGTTTGAGAAAGCAGATGGAGGACCTAATAAAGTCTGATACTGCAAATGATTAGGTCCTACACTCATGTTAAATAGTTCCAAATACTCCAACAGTTCCACAAGTGAATCTATTATTCAGTGTGAGTAAAGGTATTGCAATATAACTCATTCAAAGCACTACATCACTTAGAAGGTCACACCCCTGTTTTTTCTGCCACTCTCTTCTCTGTATACATACTGTCAAACTGGATGGTATTTCTGACTGACATGGATGAATGTTTGAACAGTTCACAGACGAAACAGGCTTTTAAGAAGGATTGGACTAGGGAAAGATTGGGGAAGGGAGATCACTCTAGGCATAGAGAGTAGCAGGGAATGAGACATGAAGATTAGTAAGAGTGAGAAGTGAAATAGGTGCTAAAGCAGTTAGGGCAAAAGGAAACAGGTGTCAAGTTAGCAGAAATGAGATCAGAGATACTTCTGGAGCTACGCACAACTTCAATGAATGAATATTCAACTGATCGCATAAAAGACAGAGAAACAAGCATCTCCATACACTAATACTTTCAAGACAGCTTTTCCCTGGAGGGAATGAAGTTTAGTAAACCTTAACACAGCCTTAGTTGGCATACCTGTCTTACAAAGTGCTGTCTTTAATAACCTGGGAATAAATCAGCATTGGTTCTACACTATTTCCACGCAGGGGAAGGGAAACCTCAGAAGCAGATTCAGAGTTTCGGGCAGCTCATGCAATACAGGATTTTTTTCTGGGTAGGGGGGAGCTTACCCTCCAGAATTGTCAGAATTTAGGAGACTCTCCAGAAGTGCGCAGGCTGACCTCTTGGGTAACTTTTGCTTCCATGTAAAGCCCTGACTGCACAGATGCTCCAATAAAATCCTGCTCCCCACCGTTCTATCATTTACCTCCTGTTCGCCACTGCTTTTCAGTTTGCTTCACTTGCAGAAGCTGAAGGGACCACTTGATCAGGCATTAGCATGGGTCAAATCCTGTAGTTTTTACTTTACTGCAAAGTCCAGTGAAATCGAAGCAAACTTTTCTCCACTCAAGACTCCGGGTATTGTCCCATTAAGAACAGTTATCTAATCCTTTGACAAGTCCCACGGCAGTATTTTTAAAAGTGGCTGCTTTAAGCAGTGAATTTTACCACTGGACTTTACAGACCATACACACTACTGAAGCATTTCCTCTTACTTGTTCTAAATCTACTACCCTTAAAGCCTCCCCCCAGCCTCTTCATGCTCTCACATGGAAGGCAAGGCTAAAATACAGGTTCTGATAAGTTCTATTACTAGAGTTATTCAGAATTACTAAAGGATTGCAAGTCTCATGCTTTTTTTCCCAGCATGGAGGTGTATTCAATTTAATCAATTTTGATGTAAATATACCAAGTTATATTTGTGTTAAATACATCTTCACGCAGATGTGCAGAGTTTTTGCAAATACAAGGCTATTCATGAAACTATAAATTAGGTGCATAGGAAACAGGTCTAAGAGCACCTGGAAAACCGTCTTAACCCACATCCACAAGATTACCTCTTAACAATACAGTTTTCAAACAACTTGGGTGCCACTCCGAGCAGCCTGAGGTTGTTCTAAGTTGCACTGGGTGACAAGCCCAGTCCTTATATGATGGAGGAGGAGTTATAAGGGGGAAGACAAGGATGGTTTAAAAGTTAATTTTTCTCCTTCTGAGCTGTTCAATTGCATTGCCCAAAACTGTACATCAGGGACTAAAGTATTTCCTCACTGAAGTCAACAAAAATGTTGACATCAATGGCTTTATAGATTGTAAAACCATGCAAAACTACTGTGAATTTCTGGTTGTACTTCCTGTTTAACTTAGGGCATAGGAGTTCTCAGAATTACCCATAATCTTTTATTTATACGACAGGTAATTATTCTAAAAGATGTCATCTTGATTTTAAAATTTCCAGCAATGGAAGTATCTTCTACAGCCCTGGGAAAATTGCTCCAATAGTTAACAATCCTCACTGTTAAAATTTTTCACATTATTTCTAGTCCAAACATGTCCCACTTCACACTTCTAACAGCTGAACCTGTCATGCTAGCTAGGCTGAAAAGCTTTCTATCTGTCAAATGCCCACTTCCCATGTACGTATTTGTACACTGTAATTTAGATCACCCTTTACTTGGTTACGCTAAAGAAACCAATTTAAGTCTTACACTTTATGGCATATTTCCAAATTCTATTATGAGTTTTATCTTCTCACCCTCTCCGATTTATCAAAATCCTCCCTTAACTGTGATAGTAACATAGCCTTGTCATCACTCTTCCCA